TCCAATATTCACCGTTAAGTTCCCTAATGTTGAGCAAAATTCAAACGGAGCCAGCATTTGGTGTGTATCTTTAGTACAATCGGACCATGAAGTTGTTTCTAAGTCAATCTAAGATTTCAGAAAGGGTCATACGATGTTAATTGCAACAGTAAAGCATTTTGGTAATTTGATGGTGGGGAATATTTCCAAATTTTTAACGCATGACATTGACAATTGACCTGCCTTTGCCTACACTGTCTAATACAGCGCTTAAAGAAAAGGGGCAATAACTCCGCTATGCCTAACACTGAGTCACTAGGTGAGAATTTGCTGTGAATAAGGATAATATATTGTTTAGATGTTTTGTGCAAGAGGAACTAAACTATTCCAAAACAAATATCCACATTATAACAAATATCCACATTATAACCAGATACGTTTTGGTAGTATCACAAATTATAAGCAGTGATGAAATCGTACTATGAGAAAGGAAGTAACTATATATTCCGATATTCTCCAGCTTGTGTACGTGTATCATGACTGATGTTGCATCATTATTAACAGTGACCTAGCATTACCTTCAAATGTAATGAAATAACAAAATCTTTACACTAATTTATTTTACGTTTACAGGGATTGGGATAGAGAACTTTGACAATGGGCCATTTTCCGGATTATTAGCCATTTTCTGAATTTAGAATGGGCCATTGCCCTTGTATCAATAGTAAAATTAGAAATGAATTTTAATGGGCAATTTTTTATTCTAATGTGCAAAATGGCCCATGGCCCCTGCCTTTCCCAATCCCTGCGTTTAAGTGCAGCCTGATTATTTATGACATTAAAGTTTCCAATAAATATCCGAAATTGGCAGTTATAAAATCTATTTAAGAACGCGGCTGATGGCGATTTCGTCATGTGTAAACCATTCTCGATGGTCGTAATTTTCATAGTTCATTTTCAGCAATTACACCTTGCCAACAGTGTCAAGGGGCTAAATCAAGAAACGGGAAATTAGGAAAACATGGTATAACAGGGGCTTAAGACAAACATTTCACTACGAAATTTGGGGACATCAACTGCGAAACAATTTAGCGAGGACACCAGCCTAACCATATTTTATCCATATATGTTCTTGTGAACCTCTGCAGCTTAGCATTATGTCTCCAGTTTGAGACATATGGTTCTGACCGAAATATGACACACTATGTTACCTTGTTTCATTATGTTGCTGTGTGTACATCTGACAACGCGCTTCGTAACGCGGTGACGAGCTTCTGACAGGCCGCGCAGACTCCAAACAACGCGTCTCTGAAGCCAGGGTTATAAGAGTAGCTTCCCTTTGACAAAGGGCGGTTACTCTGATGGATGGTGGGCTGATGGAATACCGCAAAAGAAAAATAACACATGCAGGCTGAAACATCACGTTTTATGTAATTAAGAAGTTTTATTTTTACTTGCGCAAGGCCGTTAAATTTCAAGTTTCTGACTTGTTATATGAGGCGCAAAACACTACTGACTCACTCACTACAGCATTCAAGCGTCTGGTAACTACATCACCATCACCAAACGGAGCTAAATGGTAACGGGTGATCCTATTGTGAAAACGCTGGTTCCATGCCTGGATATATATCCAACGCTTTCTATTTTGAATTTATATGTATATGATACATGGTGGAAGAATTCACAAAAACACGAGGTGTGTACAGAACATTATTTTATTCAAATTAAATATTTTAGTAAAATTGTCAATATTACTGGCACCAACAAAAGGCTCAATGAGATCAGGCCACGGGTGCGATAAATACTGGTGTTACATCAAGGCACACACCTATTAACACATCACGTGCTCGTTGTCTGTTAAGCAACATTTATAATGTAAAATCTTAGCGAAGAAAGTGGTTTTTCTATCAGTAAAATAGCAAAGGTGACATTTTCTCTCAACTTCTAATTCGACCAACAAAATAAGACTTTACAAGTAACGTCGTATGTGCTAGCTATTGTGTTCTTTATCACTTATCTCAGTGTCCTGAGAATGGAAGTAGTTTCCTATTTCACTCGAGTATTTGGCAGCTTGACTCCTGAGAGTTTCTAGGACTTCAGTCCTGCCCCACAACGAAGCACATGTGATACGTGTGGTCTCACCATAGGCAACTGAGTTTGTTCAAAATTGCCGCTGTTCACTCAGCAGAAAATGGGTACCCGGTGGGATAAATCATGTGTCTATAACCTTCTAGCGCCTAGCAGGCAGCATGGGTTATCCAGAGTGATAATGTTGTGCTGTGTTGAGCATACCTGGTGTGGAGTTTGGCGCTATATAAACGGACACATTATTATTACTAGTAGTAGACTAAGTATAAATCTCTATATTTTGCAAAACGCCATCAGCGACACCAGGAAGTAGTTTCAAACTCTAAGAACCCCCTGCCCATCGGTGTTATCGTGAGAAAATATAATACATGGAAATGAATATTGTCATAGCTGGTAATATGCTGTAAATAATATCAGTAAGGCTAGATAATCACAATCAGTCATGGATATTTTAAGTAACTGTTCTTACAAAAACAACAATCGATTAGTTACACCTGTCACATGAAGGTCATGCACACTGACGTCACCCATCCTCGAGTATCCGTTCTATCGTCTGAGAATAACTGACAGGCCACCGAAATAACGGTTTACTTGGGATCCTGAACACCAATTCCATCAGAGACAGTAGCGTATGAAATCAAATGGGCTAATGAAAATCAAGGGCAGGTAACTTGACTAGTGGGGCCGCGAGAACCACTTGAATGCAGAGAGGGCTGATTGTTTACCGAAATGAGAGCCCTGGATATCGAGGATAAGTACCCGGAGACATATACTACTCAAAACAAGTTTAGAACCCTCCGATGGCATGACAGATAAGTATAGCAGAGTTACAGATAACCTTTTAGGTCATTGAGTTATGTACTCGCTTGTGTTCATCTCAACTGGGTATCCTAATTTTCTTTTGAGGAACCAAATAAAATGTACCCACCTCACTCAACCTCAGTGGGCATTTTGCCATTTTCCATTAATTATAAAAATGTAATAAAGTTTAAATGTTATTTATATTGGATCTGTAATATGAGAAACGATAAGAAAGACTGCAAGTTGCCAAGTTCATGTGTTGAAATAGAACCTCTGAATATACCTCAGTTATTTTATCTATGCACCAGTACGTAAGCTATGATTCGACATTTTTGTGTGTACGCACGTAAGATCAAATGTATTGAGTATTTACAAAAAGTCAAGCGTACTTGTTCGCAATAGACTTGATAAGAATTGAGTTTTCACATATATATTTGCGTAATTTACGCTGATACAAAGCTTATCTGTACCTCTGCAGTATAGTAATTTGAGAGAAAAGATTAATTGTCTTTAGTATTTTATTCCGTTCAACAAACCACTATGCTTTCATATCAGCTCCCTCAGGATGAGGATGAGTTTATTTCTGTAAAGGGGCCAGAGGCCCATTATACAAGCACATAAAGGTTTGCAGAGTGATAGAAGCGCCATACAATAATAAAATATGACAAGCTCCTTTAGTCTTGATGAACAATAACAAAACATACAACTACCCATTGTTTATTTCGCGTTTGATTAACCATTACCATGTTTTCATAGTGTACATAAAACGTTATACACAAAGTATTATGGCTATAGCGAGTAGACACGGGCACTAAACCCTCTTTTGTGTAACATATATTAGTCACGATTCATAAACCTAGATACAAGTCGTGAATGTCAGTCAACCTCGTGTATATACACACAAAATAATATTAATAAATATACACATCATAACCATAAAACAGGTGACAATACATCCAGTCAGCTCATCAGCGTTAAAAAGTATGTCAATTCGTAATGGCATATCGCCAACACCTCCATCTACTGTCCATTCCAGACAGAGTGCAGAGTTGCGGCCCTTGGCAACATATGAACGTAGGTTCCGATCTACGTTCGTCAGGATTATGTCACTTGATTTGTTAGCATCATACCGGTGGTCATGTTTTACATCAAAGTGGTAATCATCTGAGAAGTATAACACTTCGGGTTTCCTCACACATGAGGCTGACACGCCGCCATGTAACTGGGATATTGTTCAAATCCACGACCAACCCAACTCAGTCACGCTTTCACTATATGAAAGGAGATGGCACAATGCCTCTTTACGTTTTCTTCAAGGGATGGTGCATGCATGACAGACATTTGCACTATAGATACTTCAGTTTCCGTGATATTCATCTCATGAAAAAAACACGTCACTTTTGTATACATATAACAAGTTGGTTCCAAACAACGTATTATGCTTGATTCAGTAACAAATAAAATGCTACAGTAGCGTGTTTAAATATGAGAACCTTTAAGAAGAATTAATGGACACAAATTCTCAATTTGTAATAACAACTGTAATAACAGAAAAGAAGATTGTTCCCTTCCAAGCTTATAGCTTTCAATGTTTGGGCGGTGTCAGCCCGATCTGTCGACAAATGAAAAATAGGATGTTCCTAACCGTCGACAAAACAAAAAACCCGGAGTGTCGACATCGGGTGGTCAACTTACCGTGACGGTGTTAATTAATGAAAGAGAATGTTTGCTTAGTGGTTTGCAAGTGGCTATGGTGGCTACAGCTATGCTCGTATCATGAGTAAATAAATTAAGTTGATTAAAGAGAATGTCTTTTTAACAATTTGCAAGAGAATTAAGGTTGCAAAAACAGACTTTTATTTTACGTTATGCGAGTGGAAGGATTACCATTTTGGAGTTTAACATGCAACAACATCCGGAAAGAAACAGAGAGCTTACAAATTATTTTGTGATATTGGGAGTAGGATTATCGAAATGCTATACAAATATGTTATATTGTGTGACATATGATACATGCATGATACATGCATGTTGTTATATTGACTGAATAATTATATTGTCTACTATATATATCACACTCTGTTTTAATTGGTTTGTTAATTTCGAGAACACTGGGAGTGAAGTCACTCATGTAGAACATCACCTACCTTTTCCCGGACTGTCGACAAGTAATTTGGACAGATTATTTCTTGTTGTCGACAGTCCGGGCATAATCCCATGGTCTTCACGACTGATCACGATGAAGATACAACTCAGTGTTCATACAGCCTTTACGGGTTATGCCATGTACAGGGTACTGTAAGTATTGTGAGAAGACTGCACACATCCCGACATATATCTTTGGTTTTGTAGTAGCCGTCGGGGAGAATGCCTGTTAGTAATCCTTCAATGGTAAATTACAGTAGTCAACGATCATGTTACTATGTGGAGGTGAGATAAACACAGTGCGATTCATAGTTATTTTACAAATATATCTTTGTTTCTGACAAACAGAACAAGCGTCTGCCGTTACCATATGCCACCGAAGAGAAAATAAAGAACATTTTCATATTAATGGAACAAGGAATCTTCTGTTGAAAACAACTTACAAATATTCGGTAACAGAGCTTATCATCAAAACCCTCATCGTCCTGTCCATCAAACCGACATACCTGACTTTTTGTCAACACAAGTCCATTCACATTCTCCATTCATTGACCATTACCCCCTCTTTATTTGTCCCTGACAACAACCATGTGGCTTCAAACCTTAGCCTGAGGTCCGATTGATTCTCAAACGGGAACAGTCAGCATACAAACTTTACATCGACTGATACGAGAGAGATGTTGTCCGGCTTTTAGCGTCTCCTGAGAGGGGTTGAAGTTATTACTGTCCGGTACTGTAGCCAGCCAGAAGCTAAACTTGTCGGAGAAGTAGTGGCACTGCCCTGAGCTTGTGCATTCTATAAATGGGTTTGTTGAAAAAGACTCCAAACAGCTTCCCGGACTTGCTAGAGGCTGTCCTCCACTCATTGATCCAACGGCATGCTGTAGGAACAAAAAATGTAAATATACTCATGGAAACCAGTATCGCTCATGTTAGTGAGTGTGAGTAAGATTTGTTTTAGCAATATTCCAGCAATATCACGGCTGGGGACACTAGAAATGGGCTTCAGACATTGTACCCATGTGGGAAATCGAACCCGAGTCTTCGGCGTGACGAGCGAACGCTTTAACCACTAGGCTACTCCACCGCCCCTGCTCATGTTAGTACTATAGTGAAGATCTTTGAGCAACATTCAAGCAAGGTTACTATTCCTATACGAACATGGACCAGATAGACCAGTGATTTAAGTAAAGCAACGCGCATTGAGCCAGGTTACACACAGCAACCGCCAGGTCCTCATTCACGAGCAGGTTCGAATCCCACCCAAACCACGGATTAATCCCTGGGATGTCAATGTCATGCAAGATCTCGAAATGGTAAAGCCTATACGGCTTCAAATAACAACTCACTCACACATGTATTGTGTCAAGAGAATGATAGCAAATGTACCGCGGAAAAACCGTCTTACCATGACAAAGCTGTACCCCGTCCACAGCTCCACCCAGTCCTGCGGACATTCGGGATTCTGTGTCGTCTGACTGTGAACAGCAATGACTGGCGCGGGAGCTTGGCAAACTGTACACCGACTGATATACGTCAACATTGCAGCACCCTCTACCGGCATCATGGGGATTACCTCCCTTGTGGACAGCCAGTAGCTTGTGGCGGTGCGACTGGCGTAGTTGCAGACGTTGTGGATATTGCAAAAGAGGATTGGCATGGGGCTGAATCGGCTGACACAAGAACCACCCAGGCCTGCAAACAACAGATCAAAGTTTATTTATGTAAGAGCAAGGAGTCTATGAGAGGTCAGACCGTCCAAGGAGGTCCAAGCGCCTCAAACCGAAACATGAGTCTCATTAACCTTTTCAGACAATGACTTACTTTTCAGCCGGTCCGAATTTTCTCGTGTGAAAGTGAAAAGAGACACCACGAACAACTATGGTTACACTGAATTCCAATCACTTGTTTCATAAGAAAATGGTATTTACAAGTTAATTTTAATTATAAACTTTAACAACATCGTATTTCTATATGTTATGGCGAGGTGTAGGCGGCATGTCGTTAAAGGAGAATGCGAACGAAAACAAAACTTTTGATATGTTGTAAAGGATCAAGTCACAACATTGATTACACAACAGTCTCGTTTCCTGCTGACTGGGTTCCGTCATATTGCGCAACTTAGTACAATAACCAGTCCAGAATTTTGAGACCAATTCATTTAACTATCTACATAAATATTAATCAGTATCATTTGATACATCTAAGCACTTGTATATTGCAACATTACGCCCCTTATAATCCTTGCAAACATGTCGTACAGTATGCTTTGTCGTACAGCGAGCACTGACAAACAGAAGCCTGGAAATCGTGGAAATCTCAAAACGAGGTTGTGCCGCTAGAAAAGTTTGGCGGTCTGGTACGGACTTGCTATAATATCAATCACATTGTGCGTTACAGAACGACACTGAACAAGCGCACAATACACATAACAGGTGTAACCAGTGAGCCTGATGCATTGTGAATCATTTTACGACCTCATCAAACTGGGGCAGTCTGAGACGTCTTAGTTAAGGTCAGGCTAGCTACACCTCGCCATAAAATATAGAAATACGATGTTATTAAAGTTTAAAATTGAAATTCAGTTGTAAATACCATTTTCTTATGAAACAAGGAATTTGAATTCAGTGTAACCATAGTTGTTTGTGATGTCTATTTTCACTTTCACACGAGAAAATTCAGATCGGCTGAAAAGGAGGTCATTGTCTAAATAGGTTAATGAGACTCATGTTCCGGTTTGTTCTATAAGTCACCTTCCGTGATTAAAACTGAGCAAAATGTTTGCAGAAAAGCAATAAAAACACAAAAAACGTACTCTTATTTCCGCCTATTACGGAAACACCCGACAGTTAATGAGCAGAGGGGTCACGTGACATGACGTCATATGTGCCTGTTGCTGATGGCTTCCTCTTTGATTTTACCTCACAACTTAACAGTGTCCATGGATTCTGAAGCAGTAAAAGATGTTCCTGATGTCATTTCTGAAATGGATGTTAGACCGTATCAATACGATCCGACTTTACATCTTGCAAGACAGTCTTCGAGTGAAGATGAAGAAGAAGAATCAAGCAAAACGGAGGCACCGCTTGAGGTCAAAATACATTTAAAAATAGACCATATCACTTAACAAGAATACTATTTGTCAGCAAAATGTGAAACAGTTCCAATCAGCAAACCCATGCACCCCTTTACATATATGACCAGTCCCTAAGAATTGGGTTTTTTAAAATGTGATTGCAGTTCCTTTTGTGTCAAATGGGTGACTGTAGGGTGTCTGGAATTTAAAAACAAAATAATTATGCTTCATACGGGAGAAAATAGAAATTATCTGCTACAAAAATTACACTGGAATTATTTTGTTGAAAAAAATTAGAATCCTAGTTCTCATTAATAACGTATCAAGTCCCCATACAAGATCCCAGCCTGGTCGATCAGAGATGAAATTCGTGACGCAGATAAGTTATTCCCCGAAAGCTGGCGAATCATAAAATACTAGTCAGGACAATGTATGTTTCCCCAGTGTTTGGTTATGGAAATAGTTATGGTACTCGGCTATAGCCTTAGAATGACATCTTGTCAGCCAATGAGAATACAGTACAACTTTCACGGCACACACTACTGACAAATAGCCCGTCTGATGCCGACGTAATTGGACAAAATGGAAAACAATGAAAGCAACAAGTACTTTACCAATCGCCGTTGTATTCGGCAATGTTTCAGGCAGACTGCAGCATTTAGGGCTCCAAACCGAAAAGAACGTTAAAGCGAAACATTTTCAAGCTCATGTGAAATCTCTTACTGATTTTGATACTATATATCTCATGGGTACCAGTCGAACTGCCCCAGCTACAAAATGCCCCAGCAAATTTAATCATTCATTCTAATTTGGTTAAAATTTATTTAAAATGATTAAATATATGCCGTAACGTAAATGCATAGTTTTTGTCAACTTTGATATTATGCTCTTCAAATAAAAGGTATTAGGAAGTAATATTTCTGATAAATGTTCCATTAGTAAACTCATATCTATGTATATACTTTTATACGAAGAACATAATATCAAAATTGACAAAACTATGCATTTATGGCCTAAATTTAATCATTTTAAATAAACTGGGGCATTTTGACTACCCCCTGGGGCAATTTGACCAAAACTTCAGGGCACTTTGACTAAGTTTGCTGGGGAATTTTGTAGCGGGGGCAATTCGACTGGCAGTCGGATTAATCTAATTTATGTTAAAAATACCACTGACAGTCAGTTGAAACAGGGAATGATGGAGTACAAATGAATCTCGTGGGTACTTCTTCCTTCTTCAGCCTAGTTTTGGTATTTTCATACCCCATGTGTGCATGTCTCTTTCATATGCGTCCGACTCGGAATGATCGGAGCATTTCCCCTGCCTAAATCTGTCTCTTTACTTGGAAAACGGAAGAAATGGTGGCTCTTTCCATTTATCGATGATTCCGTGCATCCCCAGGCAACGGAATACACCATCGTACCATGTACAAAACGACAGAAATAACACGATTTGTATTACTGTAGCGCTTGTTCTTTGGCAATATGGCGGACGCTTGTCACATATGACGTCACGAGCGGAAAGGTCACGTGAGTTCCAGCGGAATATGCATAATGGCCGAAGCTCAGATAACAGAAACTGTTTTCGCGATAAAAACATAATAAACCATATTTTTGATATAAACATTGGGGTACATGTTTCTGATGACTTTATCTTTCACTCAGCAAATTATTGCAATTGTCTAGTATTCTCCTTTAACTGAGACGTCACAGACTGCGCCTGTTCGATGAGGTCGTAAAATGATTCACAATTCATCTGGCTCACTGGTTACACCAGTTATGTATTCTTTGCGCTTATTCAGTGTAGTTTTGGAACGCACAATGTGATTGATATAATATCAAGTCCGTACCAGACCGCCAAACTTTTCTAGCGGCACAACCTCGTTTTGAGATTTCCAGGATTTCCAGATTTCCGTCAGAGCATGTTGTACGACAGAGCACGCTGCACAACGCATTTGCAAGGATTAGAAGGAGCGTAGTATTGTAATATACAAGTGCTTAGATGTATCAAATAATACCGATTAATATGTATGTATCCAGTTGAATGAACTGGTCTCAAAGTTCTGGACTGGTTATTGTACGAAGTTGCCCATTAGGACGGGACCCAGTCAGCAGGAAACGAGACTGTTGTGTAATCAATGTTTTGACTTGGTGCTGAACTATTTCCTTGCAATTGAATTCCTGCTTCAAATGTCATTAGTATGAATAAACGGGGGTCTTGGTGACCGTTAGTCTGCCATCTCGAACCTATCTGAGTAACCCAACAAATATTTAAAACGTAAATTAATTTATAGTAATAGCAAGTTAGAATTTCAATTTTTTTAACCCTGATGGCCTTCCCCCAAAATACATAAAAATATAATAGTCACTAAATTCATTGTTCAAGAATTCAAGAATCTTGTAATGACCGCTTCCACACTTGTAGCAATGTTGCCGGAAGTGCAACGAAGGAGGCATGAGCTGGGAAGGAGCTTGATATGGTGACCTTCCAAACATATACTCACCAGGAAGGTTCACCTTCAAGACTTATAACCCCAATCCAGACTTTAGGGGTTTCACTGTGTATCGACAATCAGATTGTGTGAAATATACTCATGCCAATAATGGTTGTCACCCCCCTCCCCACCCCAACAAACACCCACACACACCTCACACCCCCACCCCTTCTCCAATTAAAAAAATTGAAGGGGGTGACAACCATTATTGGCATGAGCATATATGAGACCAATGCCGCCTACCCAGATCTTGAGAATGAGCCCGCCCCTCGTCCTCTGTGTGAAGGATGCTGTACCCAGTCCATAGTGAGGGGTGTCGGGTCACACAGGCTGGGATGACCTGGCCCTGGCTGTGACGGACGTAGATGTAGGCGGAGGGGCCGGGGAAACCTGGTAATTACAGGTGGATACAGAGCTTTATATCTTAGTTGAGAAGGTGTTTGAAACACAGCTTGAAATATAACAAATACGTCACTTTGTGGATAGAAACAATGACATTTCGATGCTAAGCACCTCAGGATTCATGTTATATTCCAGTCTGGCAACGAAATAATGTAAACCTTAAGTCGAATTTTTAAAGTTTATTTGATTATTTTTGTTTAAATTCCACTGTGATCAGTGTTTTTCTTATTGAGGACTAAACAATCAGTTTAATTGTCAAATTATGAATGGCATGAAAACTGTAGGAATCCCATAGGGATAGTTACAAAAACCGAGTTCGACAACACAACTCGACAACGTCCTCCTCGGATTCCAAAGAGACTTAAAGTACAAACGTGATAGATCCTTCCTACCTGGTGTTCCTCTCAGGCCTGGCAGCCCTTCTCCCTGCTCCCCCTTGGATCCTGGGAGGCCGGGAATTCCAACGCCTGCCTCACCCTTCTCTCCCTGTTCTCCTAAACCCGCTGGTCCTGGGGGTCCTCGTGGTCCGACCTCACCCATAATTCCAGGGTCACCCCTCTCCCCACGAGGGCCGGGCATGCCCATCCCTACCATGCCTTTGTCACCTGTATTACACAGCACCATACATTATGGGACAATCAGGACATTGAATAGATACATAGTATACATACAACGTATCTTTAACTGAAACGATTTACATTTTAATGTTGTTGTACAGCTATAAAATAATAATTTGCAAGAAAAGTATAATCCTCATTCATTTGAACACGTCGCTATATGGCTGAAATAATGCCGATGCGACGTAAAACTCAACTCAACATGTGAACACTTTCATAATTAATCACTTCTAAAAAAGTTCGATATAATTAAAGTCGAAGTATCAATTCACCAGGTTCTGAAATTTATAGTTATGCATAAATAGAAAACAGCGTTCAAATGACGACCGCAAAGTAATGTTATATTACGTATATATCATATAGTACTCAAAAGAAGGAGAAAACCTGATTCTTTCATCTTTTTACACTTAACCTGTCATCATTTGGTAGAAACACTTCTGTATTGTGAAAGAATCGAATGTACTTTAACTCCTATAAGTGTAGAATATATTAAGTAAATAAAATGAATCTACCTTTGAAGCCCCTCATTCCAAAGCCAGGCTCCCCCCGCTCTCCTTTCTGTCCGTCATCACCAGGCAGCCCCTGGAGGCCTGGCAGCCCAGTCTGACCCACGGGACCTGGCTCCCCCGGCTCCCCCTGCAAACCCTGGGCGTCATCTCCGGGCTCCCCCTTGTCTCCTTTCGGTCCCTCCACACCATACCCCTGTTCCCCCGGCATTCCCATCTCCCCTGGATAGCCCCGGGGTCCTGGTTCCCCTGCCTCACCCTTCTCCCCATCCAACCCCGGGGCCCCCGGCTCGCCGTTAAGTCCATTAGGGCCGGGAGGGCCATCCTGTCCATCCAGACCATATAGACCCGGTAATCCCTGCAGACCTTGTTCCCCCTTCACGCCAGGGTCCCCTGGCGGTCCCTGGGGACCGTCTGGACCAGGGTAACCCCTCTCTCCGTCCAGCCCAGGTAAGCCACTTTCACCTGGAGACATATTACCAGTACCATTTAATTCAGAATAAAGTAAAGGTAAGATATATGGATGAAATTCAATTTAGTTACAATGCTGATAATCCTTATTATCCTTACTTAATACTCCAACTTCTATATATAGCTCTGAAAGAAGTAATTAAAAATTGACTTTCATATTCTTTGTATTTATGGAGGTATGCACTCGTATCTCCATAAACGCAACAAAACATCAAAGTCAATTCTTAGAGAGAAGTCATGAACAAGAACAACTTCGTAGTCTCCTTAATATCATTAACACACAAACAGGTAGTCATGAAGTGACATCGTTCAGAGCAATAGTGCAACACAAGCCACGCCCAGTCTATAAATTGCCAGTCGCGTATCAGAAGTCGCAGTGCTGGCCGTGGCGTATTTGTTTCAGATTATGGGACGTAAGTCACTTTTAACATCACTTCAGCTATCATTGATCAACCAGATGCCAATTTATACCGTCTTCGTTAATCTGCTTGTATAGACAAGGTACCTAAGACCATTCAGCCATTCAGCTCAAGAATTCACTAAAATACAACACACGTGTCTAGAGCCTGTCGAGGTTAACATTGTCATATGTACATACACCTAACCGTTCAGTGTTATTTACTGACCTTTCAGCCCTGGTGCACTGTCCGATGCTGATGTCCCCGGTTCTCCGTCCCTCCCTGGTTCTCCGGGCAGACCTCTAGCTCCTTTGGTCCCCTTCATACCAGGGGTTCCCTCCGCCCCGTCCCTGCCGTTTAGACCTTCGCCAGCGTCTCCCTTATCCCCCTTGATCCCATTGGTGGATACACCAGACTCCCCTTTTTCTCCCCTCTCCCCTGGAGCGCCCGGTTCCCCAGGGTAGCCCTCCCTACCTGGCGTCCCCTTGCTCCCCTTGATTCCATTGAGACCGTCTAGCCCGGGGAGACCTTGACCTTGCAGGCCTTGAGGACCAGGCCGTCCCGGGGGTCCGGCAATTCCGCTCCCCCCTTTCTCCCCCGGGAACCCCATCTCCCCTGTCAACCCTGGGGACCCAGGTGTGCCCTTCGACCCTGAAAAAAGCCAATATGTTTTGTCTTAAAACTGCCTTAACTTATGAATAATACAAAACAAGTATGTTCATTTGTTTTAGCTGCCTAGATTGAACATGTTGGTCCCATGCCATGAATCGTTGCTATGAAATTCTATAAACAAAACCAAATACAGACATAAAGGCTTAAGCCAAATCATATCTCAGTCATACAGACACGTGTCTTTCCCTGACAAGCGGAAGTGATTTGCTAGGTAATATAGACAGGCGCGAATGCGCTCGAATCGAAGCAAGACTCCACGTCAGCAGTGACAGCATTGACGGGAATTCATGACCGGGCAATATTGGAAAATTCTGTTCGACACAATCTGCAGCTGGCAACTGCTGTCTATAGACTTTGCTCGATATGTGTAGTCGTCAAAGTAGCGATCTTGGACGTATGATGACAACAAGAAGGGAGATAACTCTTCATTGAGCCAGATTATACCTACCTTTCATACCCCAAAGTCCTTCACCAGGAGTTCCGGGTGCTCCTGGAAGTCCATCCTCACCATCCAGTCCGGGTAGCCCGTCCCTCCCAGGCTCGCCACTCACCCCCGGAACTCCTCTGAGCCCTGGTTCACCCTTTGTTCCCTGCCCTGGTTCTCCCTTCTGACCAGGGGGTCCCATTGGTCCTACTTCAGGTCCCCCCGGTGGCCCGCTTTCGCCCTTTTCACCAACAGGCCCCCGTTTCCCGGAGTCGCCCTTCCGACCACGCTTGCCTAGTATAGATATAACACACTGGTTTAAAATGGAACGCTCAGAGGATACGTTTGCAGATCTTTTCGAGTTTGTAGCGAAACAGGCAACGGAATTTGTTTAATGAAACCATGATGCATGATTCCTTTTGAGTAGTTTTGGAGGTTCAGTTTCGGTCATATATATATTAATATCGATTGTTTGTTGGTTAACGTCGCTGTATTCCAACTATATATGGGGGTTTTGAGCCAGACAAACAACTGACTGACATCATGCGCAGCGACCTACACATTGGGATACGATGACACCAAGTCAGAGAGCCTGACCCCCTGATCTGTTAGCAGCCTCTCAAGATAAGCTTGGATTGCTAAAGACCAGTCGAAGCCCGGAACCTCTCGGGGATTCGCGGGGAACCTTTTTAGCATATTATAGGCAATTCAGTCAATAATAAGATAAAACACGTTACATCAAAGACTAGGAAGAGAGTTAATCTAAACATGTAACATTTCTGTTATTGCCTTAACCATACATACCAGAACCGGCGTCAACTGTTAGCAACTAATATCTGTATGTTACCTGACGGACCAATAGTTCCATGATAGCCCTTTTCGCCTTTAACTGACCGCCCTGGTAGCCCGGGGAGCCCTGGTTTGCCTGGGAGTCCAGGTAGTGTCGTCCCCGGGAGACAATCTCGACCCGAGCGTCCTGGCATACCAACCATCCCCTCTTCTCCCTTCGATCCTTTACAGCCAGGGGACCCGATCCCAGGGCTGCCTCTGGAACCCTTTATTCCGGGGGCTCCGTCACGTCCTGGAGGGCCAATTGGCCCCCTAATTCCCTGGGGTCCTAATAGGCCCTTAAAACAGCCTGACCTCTCTGGTGTCCCGGGTATACCTGGAGGGCCAGGAGGACCAGGGAGGCCGTCTTTCCCTTCGTACCCACGAGGTCCGGGAAGACCCTGTGGAACAGGATGGAAGGAACCACTGATTGAAGAATGGAACATGGTCGGTTGATTTAAAGAAAAGTACATGTACATCTATTTAGCCGTTATAAACAGTAACGGGATCCCATGTAAGTGGGTCCATTATTAATGATACCTCTATTTGCGGGTACATATATAACTTGAGGTTTACCTACTCTGGAACCGTTAACTGCTGGGCAGCGGAACCCTGGGCATCCGTAAGGCCCTGTAAAATAGATGTCCATATTCTAAGACGTACGCCGGTAGTAACGCTAACATGACTTCTCGTAACGTCGTGCCTTCAGTTGCTGGAACGTTGGTAGTGAGTGAGTGAGGTTTAGGAATGGTCCAGCAATACACCAAGACTGGCTTTGTACCATTGTGTGAAATCGAACCCGGGTCTTCGGCGTGATGAGTGAACGCTTTAGCCACTAGGCTATCCCACAGCCCCACACGTTGGTAGCGTGTATAGTGTTAGTACCATCGGCAAAAGGTAGGAATAGGATATCACAGTTTGTTTCAAGTATCTTGAATTTAAATATCACCTTAATCGTTTGAAAACTCAGATGTAACGTTATATTAATTAGCAGACAAAGATTACTCACATAAACAATGCCACGGTTAAACGTCAAAACTGACCTTGGCATCATGTCACAGTTTTTCTTTAGCCTCAACTGACTGCACCAATAAACTCACCAGAAGCCACTGAGCGACAAAGCAGTTATTTCCCTTGCTCAGGGTCTGTTTCTTTGTCTGTCTCGAGTATACACATACATCCATAATGATTTTAACAAGGCTTGCAGGTCGGTAAATGAAGATAAGATCGAACTCTGGTCGTTTTGAAAAGGCAACATGAGAATTGGACATTTGATTTTGTACGACATAGGACGTAGCATTTTTAGTGAACATAATATAAGGTACCAAAGGGACACTACTCCTTGACCTCGGTAATTTACTTCATTCGACTGTATGTCAATCTATCTAAATATAGTTTTAAGTAGCCAGTGGGGTGTTTGTGTACGCACATGCACCCTTCACCAGAGTTTCTCACCTCTCAACCCACGCTCTCCCTGTAACAGACAAAACGGATGTGATTACATTACTATTTTACAAGCGCTGCACTTACATCGGCACTCACAGTGAAATAGCTCATTGGCATTAATAACAGGATAGGAGAAATATATATCATTGGGAAGTGGTTGGTAACAAGTTGCTTAGTTGATTATATTTACTTTGATATTTCAATTGGAGAAGTCAAAATGAAATATATTCAAATATTTCCAAATCAAGGGCAACAAACAACAATTACAAGATGGCGTAAATGGAATGAACTCCAGCTCCAACTGATTTGTGTGGTTACTTCTTCCTGATATCCAGGAATCTGCGCCGCTCTTAGCAATATTCAAGCAATATTATGGGAGGGTACCAAGAAATGGCCTTCACGAGTGTTCTAATACATTCAATATAACGAAATCCAAGCTAGTGTTGATACATCGAAAATATACAGGTAAATATTATATTGTCCAATCATGTCACTTGTGTTTTCATATCAAATACTATGACAAAACATATTTGACGAGATATTTGACAGCAAAGTTGTCTGAGATCTGTGTCTTACTTTTTCCCCTTTCAGGCCTTTGGCAATCCTGGTAATCCTATTGAAGCGAGCGGGTGCCCCGTCTGTGGTGTAGTTCCCTGGTAGGCCGGGCAGGCCTGGGAATCCGGGATTACCCTGCAATTTAATAATCCGTTAGGCGACTGTCCGTATATGTCCCGGAGACTGTCCGTATAGCCAGCCGTATCGGTTTTGAGCACGGGCGTTACGACCAGTTTCCAACACATCTAAAAGGGGATATTTTACTCTGCTTCACAGACACGTCTGATATCTGATTTGAGAGCGTCGTGCCCTTTTGAACAATATTCCAGTGTTTTATAATTTAAGGCATTTTTGATTACAGCTTATTCGTAGATCAGACGAATGTAGAAAAAAACAGGCCTCCCGAAGAGGAGATTGTTGCGGATTTAAACTGCCTGAGTTAAAAAATAATTCACCCATACTACCCTGCTTAAAAAATATGGACAGTATTTATATCTCGATTCGAACACGCAGAAAACAAGATTTGTATTTGTACCTCTCAAAGCTTCTGTTTTATTGTTTAATCTCAACATCATAACTATTTGTCAAGACGACACGTAAATTATTGAGTCTGGACCAGATACACCAGTGGTTGATAGTCTGAGCATCGACCTACAACGTCAGAGCTATGATGACACTAAACAAGCATTGTCACTAAGGTGACATAACCCCCTGCCGCAAATTATCAAATCAAACTTATAAAGTAATGAAAGTTTAAGTTAAATGTCAACAAAAACATGACCAGTCAACCTCTCTTGATATCTTGCTCTTTAGTTGTTCAAACACAGACATATTTTCAAGACTGACTTTGACCTTGACATGAATGTCATAGTGCATGAAATATGCAAAAATAGTACTAAACAAATTGCTTATTGAAAAACATTCAAGGGAAGTCTTGAAAGTCTATGAAGAAAATCCAGTGAACCGTTCTTGAAATATCTTGCTGACAATTGGGTTAACATGCTGAAATCTTCAAAGTGTCATGGTGACCCTGAAAATTATGTGAAGGTCACTAAAATTGACTGGGCCCTGGGCCTTCCCTAGATGAAGCTTGGTGTCAAATATGTAGAAACTCCGGTGAATGGTTCTTGAGGTTCTTCGCTGACAAGCATAACATGCAGGTTAATATGCTGAAATCTTCTCTATGACCTTGAAAGTTACGTGAAGGTCACCAAAATTGACTGGGCCCTGCGCCTTCCCTAGATAAAGTTTGGTATTGAATATAAGAAAATCCAGTGAACGGTTCTTGAGATAGCTTAACATGCAGGTTTACATGCTGAAATCTTCAAAGTGTTTCTATGACCTTGAAAATTACGTGAAGGTCACCAGGTAAAACGTTAAAGTCCCCGTGTGACCTTGAAATGAAGGTCAAGGTCACCAAACCTGACTTGGCCCTTTCTTATACTGTGATGAACCTAGGTACCAAATATGAAAAGAATCTAGAGAACAGTTCTTAAGATATTCCAATTCGTACGTATGTACGGAGCCTAATACTATATCCCATGCTTCGCGCTAAACGCGCGGTGAGGGATAATTAACCACAGTTATCGGAATATCCCCGTTGCCTCCCCCTCTATGGAAATCTCTAGTGAGGGACATATGTACTCATGTATGAGTGAGGGTAAGGTATAGGATAACGTTATTTAGTATACAAAGACTACTTCAGAAGTACTACATATTGGAGACAGTCGACTCTGTGGTCAGGAGTCATAGGTGTACGTTTGACTGATAAGATATATACACAGTCAAAACACAGGTGTGTCGAAGTTAAATATTTCGAGTTATCCGAGGTTCAACACAACCGCGCAGTGATCAGTAAATATGGAATAAGCAGAGACCAAGCTTTTACTTCGACACAACCTAACCACAGGTCGACCTTACCCTCACTAAACTAAAAAAGTCCGAAACAAATTATTTGGTGTTCTAGCAGGAATACAACCAGTTGCGTTCCAAGTATGACACCCATAGATCCGTTTTCACAGACGGATCCAAGGATGAGGGCCAAATTGCCAGTGCTACAGTCATTGGATCCAAGACTGTCTCCTCTAGGATCCCCGACAACAGTTCCATTTTCACTGCCGAGGCCAAAGCTATCTTCTCAGCTTTGACCTACATAAAACAGCAAAATCATTCCAAAAACTTCATCGTTTTTACAGATTCATTATCTTGCCTTCAAGCACTTCAAAATGTTACTTCAAGTCACCCAATCATTCTGGACATTTTAGAACTTTACAACGACCTTTCTACTGGCCAATGTGACATCGTCCTCTGCTGGTTGCCGGGTCACGTCGGCATAGCAGGTAACACAAAAGCCGATGCTGCAGCTAAAGCAGCTCTTGACAAGCCCTTATCTCCACTGCTGATCCCATACGGTGATTTCAAACCCACCATCAAAAGCTATACTCGGGACCTCATGCAAAAGAGGTGGGACACTCAAGTAGGAAGAAATAAACTGTATGAACTGAAGCCAACAATTGGTTATACCTACATGGGCTGTCAGTCAATTTACGACGATGTCGTATTGACCACAGTCAGTTTACACATGACTATCTGCTGAAAACGGATGGGGATGGACCCCCATGTGTGTCTCTTGCGATGAGGTTTTCACCATCAAGCAAATTCTGCTTGACTTTGTGGACTTATCGTCTGCAAGGGACTCACACTATGATGAACAAATCTGAAAGCTCTGTTCTCCCGCGTGAGCTCTCATCTGATAGTGGACAACCTGAGGGAAGTTGATCTGTATCATATATTGTAACTGTGTAATGTGACTAACAAATTGCCTGCCTTTAAATTTAGTGCTATGCCTTTTTCTGTCTTTAAATGACAATGTAATGAATATATGTTTTTGAAACAAAACGCGCTTTTTGACTCCGTGCTTACAAATTGTAAGTTACAATGTTTATTAATGCAGACTTGTGCTCGTCACTATATGGCTGAAATAATGCCGATGTGACGTAAAGCCCAACACAACTCAACTCACTAAGTTCTATACAACTGTAGAAACCTAGACGTACCGGTACACCTTTACCTGGAGGACCTGGAGGACCCTGTAATAAGAAAAAAGTGAATGTAACACCCGGTTCTGTAAATCTTATGCGAAAAACCCGTTGTACTAACTAATCCCTTCTGTTCATATTCATTGTGTTACTGTTAACCTCTGGTCCAGATCAAAATATATACAAGCATATAATATCCGCTAAACATCTTGATTGATACTTCCATAATGATATGCGAACTTTAGCAATACTAGTATTACAGTTAAAAAAACAATATGGCTACTCAAAGTATAAAGCCGGCGGAAAAAGCCGAGTTGACCCGACAGCCTCTCACCATCGGTCCCGGAACACCAGGTGACCCCGGCTCTCCACTGACTCCCTGAAAGACAAATATCATCATTACAACGTCGGATCTGACCTTCAGGGCAATTTCCTCTGGCTATCTCACCCGACCTATGGCAATGTGGGTTGTATATCCCACAAGTGGAATCAGTAAGCAGTCTCCATGTACAACACGTGGTGCCTACACGACGGTGTACAAATATAGCCTTGTCTTATCCCCCCGACATACATGTAGTGATAAGGGTGTTGTACACGTAACATGAAACACAGTTGTAATAGCTGATTGTGATATGTGGGACTTAAAGTAAAGCAATTTGACTGTTGATATCAAAGTAATGCAATCCAATATATGACTTATATTTACTGAGTATCCTGACGTTGACAAAACTATTGAGGAACGTAGATTCGATGCATGAATCTGTGTGTTGAGTCGATATATGAAATAGACACGTGCTACTCACGTGCAAGCCGTCACAGCCAGGAAGCCCGCGCATGCCATCTTCTCCAGGGGGACCAGTTTCTCCCTAAAATATAATTATAATGTTAGAAACTTTATTTGCGTTCCAACAATGATGAAACACGTATTAAACAAATCCTCTACCAACATGCATGGGTCTGCTGACTACTGACTACTGACTACTTACCGTTTTACCATCCTTGCCTGGCATCCCGGGTACTCCCACTGGGCCCTGGAACAAGCCAGTCGTACATTCGACTCAACGTCCTTGTTAGAAGCATCATCAACATCATCATCAATTATCATCATCACCATCATCGTTAGTTGTATGTTATCACTGTCATCACTAATACGATAACCTCATATATTTGATTATGTTCATGGCACAAAATAAGTGAAAGAGGACAGTTCATTTACTCACATTACAGTCCAGTCCAATGATGTTACAGTCTCTGTACTCACTCTGAAACCACGTGGTCCCATGACGCCATCAAAACCAGACATTCCTTTGCCCCCCTTAGGTCCATGCGGTCCCACGTCTCCCATCGGCCCGGGGTGGCCCATCGGGCCTCTTCCACCTGATCGACCCTTTTGTAAGAAAATATGATTATTACAAGATTGATCTACCTTTCCCTCCACCGGCACCGGTTACAAAGTAAATATTACCTATAATATGAAAAGAGCAAGTTTGATCAATCACAGGTTACCTTAATGACAAACACAACGAAGCTCAGAAATACTAGGTTTCTGACACTGACCTTCACTCACGGACGATAACTCACCGGTTGTCCTGTAGTCCCCGGAACTCCAGGCATGCCCCGACTGCCCTACAATAAGTGCAGAATTTATGTTTCATCAGTCACTGCAATCATGGGCACATGTACACATCCACAAGCCGGTACTGACGGCTGCCTTACGATAAAGTCTAAATTGAACAGCCTACAGATTCACCAGACGGTTTCATTCATACTCTAACACGCATATAAATACATTTACTTCAGGAATGATTTTCTGTTCTCTCTTGTCTAATAAGACAACCCATTATTTTGAAAATAGAAGGTGCTTTTTTGGAAAGCGAATTTCTTATCCGGAAACTTAAGTCCTTATCAAACTACAGTGTTAGCAGTTACAGGCACTGTTATCCATTGTGTAACAATGTTCTAATGGCAATACATTGTATATGTGGATAATCTGTATGTGGAGGTGGTATACTATATTAAGACTTGTACTATATTTAGACAGATTTCTGGAAGATACTGCAGGGTATACAACCCTACGGGCAATTCTGACAAGAATACCAGCACCTTGGGTGGATTATGCATTTATTTTACAGACAGCAATTTTCCAGTTCTGTACTGCGCCCTGTAATTAGTCGTTAACGTTGTCCATCCAGGCCGTAGGGTTAGATCCTAGTCAGATAACGTATAGCAACTAGCCGATCCTCACTCTCAGACACGCTGGACATCTAAATGGACACTCCAAAGGTAATATTTTTTCGTAAAGAAAACCGATGTTTTGCACAGTGATGTGTAGGAGAAAGACAACGTGATGTGAGATGATGTGAGACTTACCATGTCCCCCTTCTCCCCCTCAGCGCCCAAGAATCCCCGCTCCCCCTTCTGGCCCTTCAGACCCCCGGGACCTTCCACCCCGGGGTAGCCACGCATCCCATTCTCTCCAGGCTCACCCTTGGCGCCTGTCATGCCCTGAAAAACATGGGAAGATCATTACAACATACTGGCTTACTGACCTTAATAAATTAACTGGGCTAACCGTGAAGGTCCAAAAACAGTTGGGATTGTAGTAAATTTAAAGTGTCACCTTTAATGTAGCGCGTAAGCGTTTTAAAAGACATTTGTAACCATTTGTAATTATTCATATTGTAGCAGTGATGAAATTTCAGGGTTTGATCCCCTGGCATTTCATATGGTTGATTTAAAATTAAAATGTATCAATTTCCAAATGGTATTTTTAGCAATGTCATTATGTTGCGGGTGAGGTCCTTTTAATATGTAATAAAATGCAACTAAAAACTATTAAATAATAGTTCATAAAAAAAAGGTTTTAGGTGGTAGTATTTTATAGGTTATTTAGTTCATTTGTGGTGCAAGAGTTCATCAATTGTATTGATGACAAAGGTAGCATTTCAAGAGAAATACCTTCAGCTTTCCCCGAAATGGTGGATGTATGTCTTTGTCAATTATACATACAAAATCTATATGTTCTATCAGCGATAAAGGTAAAGCAGCACTCTCTTTCACTCACTCACTCACTCACACTTCATATTATTTTTACTCGAATAAAAGATCATAATTCCCGATCGACAGAAAGCTCAATTCATTCACACATTCACCCCGAAAGAGAAAAACATCCCTAATCCATATAGACAAAGTCAGTCAAGCAGAGCCTCTCCATAAAGGATACCAAATAAGATCAAATGACATCATACGATGCAGATCAGACTACCATCATGTATGGAGGCATGGATTCTGGCAACAACAACGATTCCGACTGCTTCTTGCTCCAATATCAGGTGATGTAATGTATACACATACTGATAAGTATAATAAATACCGCCATATGTTTTGTAGACATGTACACTACCGGGCAAAAAGAAAGTATACACCTATGTTTGATCGTGAAAAATAAAATACCCAAGAAATAGTGATTCAATGGCGATTGTTTGATGCGGGTTTGCTAGTGTTTGGGGCCTTATGTCTGCTGTGGTTCGGCAACACTTTGAAGTTAAGGAACGCTTTGATAAACTTTGATTTTTTAATCAAATCCAGTTATCAAGACAAAATGTATTGTCTTTTGCCCGGTATTTTACATACATGCTTATATATATTCAAATGAAACACATACCACCATGTGTGTTATGTGTGGACACGTGTATGTGGATACCTGGTCGGTCAGTCGACGACATCCACAGATCAGCATGGGGCAGAGGCCGATGAACCTAAGCTTTGGACACGTTCCCCTAACATACACAAATCTCTGTGTATTGACACATCAGACCCGTCTCTGTCATGTATTTGTACACGCCATTGTTCAACGTTAAGCCGAATGGCCACCATCTACCAAGAGTGTTTGGGAACACATCAGAACAAACTCCCCACAAGCACATGATCATTTGCTGTGTTATTTTTCAATTTGTTAACGGCTGACGGACGTTGTCTGTCTATTGCCTGTAATAACTTTCTATATCCGTTCCACATTAGGCTCTGTGTTAACGTGTTAGGGGTAAGTGACGGATACGTGGCAGGAATAATAATGAGCATGTCATTGATAAGGGAGCGTGTTCCCTAGTGTCCGTGGGGAGTCATCTCTGAAGGGTTGACCATTTAAGGGTGGACGATGGTGTCGATGTGTACTATTTCCCGCCATGAACACGAATTGAACAAAGGTGACAAGATTTCCCTTGTCAAAGAATGATGGTTAAGAAGCGGACATTAAGAGATGGCACAGATGTAAGGAACCGAACCCATGCTGTCCCGTGACGAACTCTCACCTGAACCAGTGGGCTCCTAGACTTTTACCTTATAGTGTGAAAGTGTGCGCTACGCACAGATGTCCTCATGAAGTATTTCAGTCAATTACATTTGTAACCCTTGTTTAAAAGATCAAATCACTGTAGGTTATGAAACAGCGCAAACTAAGTCAGTATCTGACACATATGATTAATGTAGATCGGTTTATGATTATCAGAGACTAGCTGATCAACCGCCCCTATGCTCTCCTACGTATCTTACCGGGAAGGTAACATAATGAGGACAAGACGCTAGTAATTAGTAAGGTCTCATTTGTTAACAGTCTTTAAAAACACGTGTTCAAAGGTATCTATGACTTTGTTATAGTGACTAATTTAGGACAGCCATCGTCCAAATATTTAAAAAGTCCAAAATATGTACTCAAGACATGTGAGACTTTATTGTAATATATAAATGACGCTAAGCTGTATTTTTAATCACTACTGTACATCCTTATCACTACCGCATTGTAAATTGACTTGTCAGCCCATTAATTATTGTATAAGACATTTATAACCTCCATTGGTAATCCCCCTTGGCCGTGTCTGCCATCACATCTACTGGTCAAGGAAGTACTATTGTTTTTCTTTCTGTCCATTGATGAGTCGTCGCCTGACCATTGTTGTCAAAAACTGTATATATATATACTAGGTATGCTCACATCTAGACAGCGAAGGAGTACGAGTCCGGTATTTGGACTGTCTGTTGGGACGACCACGAGCAGGATAATGCCGCTCGTTGGAAACGCCCTGTGGTTGAGCAGGTACTCCGCTCTCCCACATGTATGTCTTGTGCATTTGTTTGTCATGTACTAAAGAAGTTTGAACTCAACTATGCCTTCGTCTTCATCAACGCACACTTCATCTTAAAATATGAGCTAATTCCCAAGTCGACGCGTACACCACGCGTTGACAACTTTATCACGTCTGTTCTTTTCAAACGCAGTCACATGTTAATACATTCAAGAACTCATGTGTTACGTCAAAAATATATGTACTAAGTTTATCGGTTACAACTAAATGCTAAAACCAATTCATTCAGAGAATCACTTGACATTCTGAGTGAATACTGTATATTCAATATTAAATATGAATTGAAGAGTAAAACCTAGTATGTGGTTTATATATACTGTGAGACAGATGGGACGCAAGACGAGCATTGACACTGCCTTGAACATAGCGGAGCAGTGTGGCCGCATTGAATAGAATTTCTGTTACACCACAGAGGGTGAGTTTGATGGGGTGAAACTCCCGGAGTGCCTATCGTACACATTATGGCATTGTACTGACCACATACCTGGAATGTAGACCTTCTCTTCATACTGGCTCCGTTATGTCCAACATGGAAACAACGGTTGGTTACAACGGTTATAACCGACCCATTACCAGGGAACAGTCTAACACCTTGATGGCAAGTACGTATGGTTTTACGGGGCATCACACAGTGCAGTGGAGAACTGAACCTGGGTCTTCGCGGGACGAGCGAACTCTTTAACCGTCAGGCTACCTCGCCGCCCGAATGACATGGTCACAGGTGAGTTGAGTCAAACGCCGATTGGAACATTGTATTAGTGATATACCAGCGCGTATATGTGAACCTCTGGCATTATAGTAGTGGTTGCATGGTCGGAAGGTAAAATAATGCAGACCAAGACCCTGCAATAGTTAAGACAAGACTAACACGCACATTTATTAAAGGAGAAATCACCCGTTAAGATCCGGGTTTGAATTGATCTTCAGTAACCCATGCTTGTCGTAAGAGGTGACTAACGGGATCGGGTGGTCAGGCTAGCTGACTGGGTTGACACATGTCATCGGTTCCCAGTTGCGTAGATCGATGCTCATGCTGTTGATCACTGGATTGTCTGGTTCAGACTCGATTATTTACAGTCCGCTGCCATATAGCTGGAATATTGCTGAGTGCGGCGTAAAACTAAACTCACTCACTATTCAAGGAAAATTTCACAGATTAGTCTTTCTCGAACTCAATGAACAGTGACGTCTTTTCGGACAGGCTGACGGTCATGCTGGGA